TTTCTGTTTCGGGCATGCCGAATTTCTTTTAGGAGCAATTACGGCTTGACAAAATGATTAATGGCTTTGAAACTGGCCTGCAATTCTGGTGATAACGTCCTACAGCCTCCACTTTTTTCCGCCGTTAATGACAGGGTACTATTTTAACTTTTTAATTCTGTTCTGGCCATAAATACTCAAGGCAGTTAGTGTTATTATTTTCGAAATTATTGTCTTTTAATAAATGCCGTTTTTATCCCATTACCTTTGGTTCTATTTATCCCACGAAAATATCTGTTTAATATCTACCTACCTAGAAATATATTTCGATCTTTGCGATTTGGTCACAAAATTGCAGTTTCAATTCCCTATATTAACAGTTCTTTCATGCATTCACTTACATCCATTTGTATTTAAGATAAAAAATCTCAAGAAAATATATGTTAGCAATCTCCGATGCTGGATGTGCAGTCCAACTAGCGAAACGTTAGGGAACAACTCCAACCTTTATAGACCCGAATTATAATAATAAAAATTTTGATTACCCTTTTCAAAAATAATGCTCTTTAGAGTACATGCCTGTATTTACGTGTGCGTGTAATTTTAAAACAATAAATTTTAAATATCTTATTCGTTTTCGATGGCAAAGGAATAAAATAAAGAAGATCGCATCGCCTAACGAATCACAAAAGTTTTGAATTATTTAGCGAGTCCGCTTGGTGCATTAATATAGGTAATTGAATTCAGTTACAGAAGAACGTGATTAAATTTAAATTATTTATGGCATGAGGGAGAAGGAGTTATGCAAAGGACATCAAAGGAAAAGGGAGGCCAGATGTATTAAGGGATCCCGAAGACACGTCTTGCTTCCGACCCCGGTGGACCGGTGACAGTGGGATTACAAGTAAACGAGTGTTGAAAAACGGTTTATTAATCTTGAAGAAACACGTTTTGTTTTCCGTCAATTTGTTCCCCTTTGTTTCATCAAATTTTCTTGGTGTTTCTACTACACTACAACCGTGAAAATTATAATTTTCGTGCCTAATACATACCTACCAAATATAATGTAAATCCTCCCTATCATAAAAAACTTGACAAGTTTGCATGTAACGAGAATTATATAAACTAGACACCAAATTAGCCCCTAAAAATCCCCTTATTGCCATTCTCGAAATCGGGTGTTAAACTTCACTTCAATATAAGAATGTGTTAGGTAAGTTAAAATAAAATTTGGGTTATTTTTATAATTATATTACACCCCTTTAACACGCGATAGTGATCACTTTGTTAGGCTATTAAAATAAATTTTGTGAGGTCTGAACAGGTATACAATTTTGAGATAATTAAGTTAAGTTTAGTTGTACTCAATTCTTGTACTTAATAATGTATAGTCTCGTTGATCGTCTTAAAAGATTAGTTGAGTCAGAAAATTAACTCGTCGAAGTTGTACATTACACAGAATTCCAAGGTTATTCAAGGTATTCGATTTTTTAAAGAAAAGCAGTTCTGGAATATTATCGGTTGTAAATACCTGCACATTTGACAAAAGCTCGTGATCTAACAACCTTGACGACGGACATGTGTTATAAATGACTAGTAATTTGTCTTTTTGTGAACCATATAATTAGTCAGTATTCGTTCTTCTATTCTAACAAAAGTCTTTTTTATTTGACGGTTTAGTTCACTGGTAAACCTCCTGGACTCGACCTAGCCAACAAACACATTCCGCGTAACAAAAAAAATGCAACTAAAACACGTATTAATCTCTGTATAATTATTTAGATTCTTTTATTGACCCTGGCTATTTCTTTGGTGTCTTTTTTTTTATTAGTAATAAACTTTTTGTTTTAAAACAAACCTACCACCTCTGATAATGTTGGTAACGACACCTAAACGAAAAAGCTCGAAAGTATTCGTTGTTTGCCACTGAAATCCCTGAGGAAATTACACGGTACAAGCAACTTCTCATTTTATCTCTCAGTAAAGCGAGAACAAGAAATAAAACATTTGAATTACACATGCATTGCTTGTTCAGCAAAAATAAAATTTTATTCTCAATTTTCCTAATTTAGACATATATACACTGGCCATTTTTAAAAACGTAATAGCCCCTCACAAAAAGAAGTAAAACATCAAACTACCAGAAACGCTCAAATAGTTGATGAACTGCACTAATTCGTCAAAAATAATTTCACCTATTGATATATTGATAAGCCATCAATAAATAAAATGAATGGCTAATCTTCCGATTCAATTGGAGAATGAATGATACGCTCTTGGAAAGCTCAAGTAAAGAATGGTACCAACAAATACTGTATTTGGAGCCTTGTTGTGTCGTATTAGGTAGAGTGGAGTACGTAAGATTATGATTAATAAAAGTTCCCTATCTTCCCGGAGACCTTTTATTACCCCTTCTTACAGGTGAAACTCCAAACACAGTATTTATTGCTAAAATTGGTCAAAAGTCATATTCTTCTGCTTGGGCGGCGAATGGTACCATTCAAAAAGTCTTTATGTAATCTTTCCAAAAAGGTATCAATCGATCCCCAATTCAGTAGGACCGTTCCATTCTACCTACATTCTACTGAAGATGTTTTCCGCAGTCCATCCAGCAGAAATTTCTACTATCGATCACGACCTACATACGTATAGTACCTACCACTTTCAGCCCAGAAAGCATCAATTTCTAATTAAATCTAGAAACAAGTTCTATGATCTGCTTTAGTTGAACAGGTCCGTAATCTAAATTTAAGTGACTGTGAAACTTTTTTGTCCCAGTTTATAAGTTGCGAAAGGAATGACGAAAATTTTGGTTTCAGTACCCACATTGTTCTTTGAAAGACGGTCAACGCGAGTGCTGTAAAGTGGTGATGTTTCTTAGTAATTTTCGAAAGTCATGGTTCACTCAAAACCAACTTATTTGATTCAGTTGCAGATAAAATCAGTAATTAGTGGCCGCTAAGTACGCATTATTTAAAAGCTAGCCTTGTCAACCGCAGTTTACAAAAGAATGAGTACTTTTTACTGCCGAGAAATCTAATAATACATCTGTAAGGTCTAAGTGGCGTAACATTTTACTTGACGATCTTAGCGATATCTTAATGTATGGATCTCCACAGGCTCATTAGTTCAAGTGTTGACCGTCAAAGCGACACCACTTCCGGCTAAAAGACAACGACCGGCGGGATGCGCCGTTGGTTAATAAATTATTCATATTATAATGAAATCATTCTACTTGCTACACTTACTCTAAATCTATTTCACTACCGAACCATCGGGACAACAAAAACAACAGCAAGTTAATATCGCGCGACACTTCGATATTGAAAAGTTTTAATGGTACTGAAAATTAAAAACGTAACAGCACGACCATCTACCGGTCAGAAATTGAATTAAAATTCAACTCGAATATATTTTATGATTTTCATAACTCGATCTTACCCCAAACCAAAAATACATTAGGCTTCAAAATATTATTAAATGTTTGTAAACCCAAAAAATTGATCCCAAAAGTTTAGTTATTTTCCTAATATAAGATAATATCTTGACTTCTTGAACTATTTAGTATAAGTATGTATAACATATCCAACTTCCTAAGTCAATTTTGTTCAAACTTATTTAGTTAAATTTAATTTGTTTAATTCTCTCTATTAATATTAGTAATACTTTGAGAAACATAACAATATAATAATAAATAATACAAATATTTCTTCTTTCAAAGTTTATCTTCAAAACTTCAATTAATATAGCCTTAAAGAAGTGTCATCCGACTGTTTTAGCTTTAAAATTACTCAGTATAATATGTAACAGTAGTACTTCGATAACATCTTCACATTATCATAAATAAAGATTACAATGTCCTGTGTCCCACAGTACCTGGACATTCATATGCATATTCATGAAGAAACTGTTTTATTAAAACACGGTTACTGAGCAAAAAAATTATTCTTTCCTTACATTTAGTCCCAATTTTAATTTGTCTTAAGGGAAAAATTTGTTACCACAGGAAGTGAATTTATTTNAACTTGATCTTAATTCGTCAAAAATATAAATATTTACGTTGTGCTTCACTTTTACGCTATCGATACCCAAAGCGTCTAAAAAAATGTTTGTGGTTTTTGATAACTACCACATTGCACATAAACAAATTACTGCGTTTCAGCAAATCTTTAAAGAAAGAATGATATTCAAAAATAACATTTTCTTCAATATTAACATTACGAAAATCCCGTCAACTTAAAAACAAAAGTTTGAACGTCGTAATGTCCTTGAATTAAAAAAAATCTTTGTATACATTTATTAAAATATTTGTTTTTGCAAGTGTCTTAAACTACTAGCTAGTACTTTAAATAACTGACGATTTTCGCTTTATGAGTTTATATTATATAAATAAATCGTTAGAAATGCCGAAGAAGATTTAAAATAAAATACGCAAAATTGGATAAAATAAAAAATTCATTAGTTGCACGATTTAGTAAAAAGTCTTTTGATCGATTTCATATTTTCCAAAATTGTATGTGAACCGCGGTTAATAAAAAAAAATTAAGTACTCGTTTATAAACAGTTATGAAATGTTTGCTTCAACACATTACTTTATCAATTTCAACATTAAGAAGCGTGCCACAAATTAACAATAATTACAACACTTTCAATGGTGTCTGGCTGATTGAGCTCTTCCGTGACATCTCCGTTTTTTCCTTGCTAACAGATACATGATCCCTGGGGACCTGGAGAGCATTAGCTAATAAACTACAACTTTTCCAGGATCTCTTTCTATATATCAATATACATTTAGTTCATCAGCAGGGCCTTTTTAACATAAAAAATGTTAATTTAGCAAGATAGTAATTATCATCGTTTCAAGAGCATTCATTCTAGAATATCTTTCAAATTATCACGTTTCCTGAATGTATCTGCAGTACCAAAACTTTACAACTTTTAAATGTACGCCACTTGTAACATACAGGAATCAGTAGGTCTTTTATTAAGTACGTAATCATCTCATAAACTTCCTAATAAATAAATATAGATATAATTAGAAATATCAAATTTCAGGTATTTTTCATGGGAAAACGTTCGTAGTCATCCCCATAACGCCTCTCTGCCTCAGAATAAATTCTGCTTTCCGGGACTTTTTTTGGTTCTTTAACTGCAACATCTTTAGAGAACGTTGTTGCCGAAGTCGAAGGTTTCATCCTCTTGGAATCGTTTTCAAAAAATTGTGGCGGAGGAACGTAAGGTTCTCTAAACCTTCCTGGTCCAAAATAGGGATCGTCCAAATACCCGTCGTAATTATAATTAAATCTGTCCCTTAGGTTTACCTTCGGCGGAGATCGGGCAACTTCCGGTAAAGTTGCATAGTAAATAATTCGGGTCTGTTTTTTGGGCTTGTCCATGTTATTTCTTTCGAAGTCATACTGCCTGTACGTCTCATACCTCCTTCCATATCTCTTCCGGGGAGGAAACGAAGTGTAAGAGTTGGAAAAACCATTTTCCGGAGGATAGTTGAATGACCTCCGTGGCGGATAGTCGTGTTCATATGGACGGAAATCGTAAAACTTTTCACGCATAGGTCTGTAAGGTTCTTTAATACGGTCGAAAAATCCACGTTTATCGAAACTTCGCTCTCTTGCAAAGGCACCGTGGTTATCGTGCTCGGGAATTGACTCTCTAAATCTATATTCTGGTAACGTTCTGTCCGATAAAAAGCTTCTACTTCTTCCTCTGGGAAAACTTCTTTCTCTTTCCAACTCTCTATCGACGTTTCCGAAGCCATTACCATTATCGGTACGTTTTTGAGTAACAAAATGTACTTTTGGAGCCCTTATATTGTCGCTACTCTCGGTATCTTCTTCCTCATTTACCTTTTGTACTGGGTAAGGTTGTTTTACCCACTGTTCTTGTGATGCGCTTCTTGTCAATCTGTATGATGTTGCATCTTCACGATCGTCCTTATCCTCGTTCTTCTCTTCTGATAGCTCGACTGAGTGCTTAGTGGATGAAGATCCTTCCTGGAGGAACAATTTTGTTTCTTGAAAAGTATCAACGGGGGATCGTTTTAATATTCTTTTTGGTCTTAATTTATGGTTTTTGTTAAGTTCCTTCTTTCCTTTCTTCTCCCGCGATAGCTCAACTGGATGTTTAGTAGAAAATCCTTCATGAATTCCTTGAAAACCATCGGTAGGAGAACGTTTAATTCTTTTTGATCCTAGTCTGTTATTTTGATTAAGATTCGTCTTCACTTTCTGCTGTCGTGAAAGTTTAACTGGATGTTTGGTAACAGTTCTTTCTTGGCTTTCTAGTAGAACACCACCAGCAGGACTACCTTTTACTACTCTTTTTGATTCCCGTTTGTGGTTTTCGTTGAGGTCCTTCTTCACGTGTGTCCAGGTTTTCTTTCCTGAATTATTTAAAATGTCAATACCATCGTTATTTTGTTCAGAGGAATTTTTATCGTCGAAGAAAGGCGTCTTCATGTTGTTCTTATGGGTAGTTGTGGTTTTTGAAATTGCTCCATCATTTATCTGAGCATTAAGATTAGATGCAACGAATACAATTATAAATGCAGCCAATAATCCCACGCTAGGAGCCATTATTTTAACAAATCAAAATCGGTTTCTTTCTGACTTACATGAAGTCAATGCACAAAAATTCAGCACACAAATTCAGTGGTCATTTGACGAAGTCGGGTGTCGAACTGAATGTTTTAATGAACATTGTAGCTACGTTTTATTCTCGTTCTGCAAAATTGAATAATTTTATCTCAATAGGTACTTGACCAGGCACTGTAACGTACATTTCCGGATAGAACAAAAAGCATATGTCAATCAGCCACATTTTTTCGCGTTTTTATTTTCTAAATTGCAAGCTCCGTTAGATTCTGTTTTCAACTACAGTTCATACACCGAGTTTCAATTCATCAATCCACTTTTCATATGAACGATTAATTGTAAAAAAAAATATATTAAAAACGACGCATCGAAAAATAAAATAGATTTGCACATGTGACTCTGTCGTAAATTGTGTTCAGAGGATTAATTAACATTTAAAAGCAAATTAGCTCATTGTCAAACTATTTATTATCTAATTACATAAAAGTTTCCTAACACAAAACTATTTTTTTTGTACAATCAAAAAGGTTTTGTTTAACCTGACGTAATTTATTAATTACAAATCAAAAGCTAAACGTAACACTTTGGATCACAAGTAATAACTTTTATGAATAAATACTAACTTTTAAATAATAATATGAAAAAGGAAATACTTAGATCGTCAAGATTATAGAATGAATTATAAAAGCAGACAATTGCTGAACTTGATCTTAATTCGTCAAAAATATAAATATTTACGTTGTGCTTCACTTTTACGCTATCGATACCCAAAGCGTCTAAAAAAATGTTTGTGGTTTTTGATAACTACCACATTGCACATAAACAAATTACTGCGTTTCAGCAAATCTTTAAAGAAAGAATGATATTCAAAAATAACATTTTCTTCAATATTAACATTACGAAAATCCCGTCAACTTAAAAACAAAAGTTTGAACGTCGTAATGTCCTTGAATTAAAAAAAATCTTTGTATACATTTATTAAAATATTTGTTTTTGCAAGTGTCTTAAACTACTAGCTAGTACTTTAAATAACTGACGATTTTCGCTTTATGAGTTTATATTATATAAATAAATCGTTAGAAATGCCGAAGAAGATTTAAAATAAAATACGCAAAATTGGATAAAATAAAAAATTCATTAGTTGCACGATTTAGTAAAAAGTCTTTTGATCGATTTCATATTTTCCAAAATTGTATGTGAACCGCGGTTAATAAAAAAAAATTAAGTACTCGTTTATAAACAGTTATGAAATGTTTGCTTCAACACATTACTTTATCAATTTCAACATTAAGAAGCGTGCCACAAATTAACAATAATTACAACACTTTCAATGGTGTCTGGCTGATTGAGCTCTTCCGTGACATCTCCGTTTTTTCCTTGCTAACAGATACATGATCCCTGGGGACCTGGAGAGCATTAGCTAATAAACTACAACTTTTCCAGGATCTCTTTCTATATATCAATATACATTTAGTTCATCAGCAGGGCCTTTTTAACATAAAAAATGTTAATTTAGCAAGATAGTAATTATCATCGTTTCAAGAGCATTCATTCTAGAATATCTTTCAAATTATCACGTTTCCTGAATGTATCTGCAGTACCAAAACTTTACAACTTTTAAATGTACGCCACTTGTAACATACAGGAATCAGTAGGTCTTTTATTAAGTACGTAATCATCTCATAAACTCACTAATAAACATTTTGAAAACAAATTAGAAATAAAAAAACTCCCACATTTTTAAACATTTTCATACATATTTATACAATTATTTATTATTTCGGTGGATAATTAAGTAAAAAATCGATTTATTTTTCATTATGTATACGAAAAATAATAAAGTGAAAACGTTTTAATCAAAACTGTATTAATAACGTATTAATTAAGAACATTCTAGGATTAGTTTCATATCAAGCGGATACGAAAAAACATAGAAAAACATTTTTTTGTCCGCAGAGTCCATGATTTTTCCTATTAGATACAAGTGTGACGTGAACATAAAGACCAGCAAACAGAGACATGTGATGCCTTATGAAAAGTTAATACTTTAATTGTATTCGTTACTTAGGTGCATGTATAGTCATGTATAATATGTACATTTAATATATACATCTATTTATGTATGTGTATTGTACAAAACGCGGTATCAAAGATTTGTCTAAATGTGGTTCCCTAGGGACATCATAAATTGTCCTGATAACAACTTATTAACGGAATCGTCATAACAACAAAGACAGAAAGAGATTATGCTTTTAAATAAAGACCATTTATACCATGCGACATTACCAGTGTTAAGCTGAATTGAATAGAAAGCGTTTAAGTTAGTCGAGAGCTATTACTAGGAGTTTTCTATTCCGTTTGTTAATAAGAAGAATCAATGGTGTTGTGTTTACATTTAGAATACCAATGACTCCCGATCAATTGGAATCGTCCTCTCAATATTTCGGAAACTGCGAAAATTCCTGCATAGAACTAGAAGCATTTGATGATTTCAATTTTAATTGTAATCCTGGTGAACAATCCCTTATCACCAGATATGCACCTGAAGACAATGATATACTCCCCGTAGGAAACGATTTGTTCAATTTGGAATGCGGAAGTGACAGTTTATTATTCGGTAGTTCGAGTTCCGGTACCGTCGAAGAAGATGATGTTTCTTTGAGGAAATTTTATGAAGGAAGTTATTTCGATGATTCGGATGTCTTATGTTGCGAATTGGTGAATCAAAATGCTGCAAACAATGAAGAGAACAATCCTTTTTCTGTGCTAGGTATCAGTTTAGACCTCGGGTTATCGGAAGATACGTGTTTACTAAGAAATTTTGATACAGAATTAGATCAATTACTCGACGAAAATTTCTTCAACGGGGGGAATTCCCTACTCAACGATAACTTATTAGACAAAACTAGATCAGACTTAAGTCTCGCTCCTGCCAAGGAAAATGAAATTTTACTTCGACTTGACGAGAAAAAGACCACGCAAGAAAATTTGGACACCGAGAAAATTGTAAGCATGTTTCCTCATATGCACGATGAAAGGAACCGAAGAAGAAGATATTTGTTGTACGAAAATTCACAAGCAAATAAAAAAGTTCAACAAAAGACAATTTCTCCAGTTAGAAACAAAAACGTTAATACACGACACGCCGCATTAATAAATCATGACTACACAAATAAGGTTGAAGCTGAAAAATCTATAACATGCCCTGTACCAAATTGCAAAAAGATTTATGCCAAAGCGTCACACTTGAAGGCCCATCTAAGACGACACTCTGGAGAAAAACCGTTTGTTTGTGACTGGAACAACTGCAGTTGGAAATTTTCAAGATCAGATGAACTAGCCCGTCATAAAAGGTCCCATTTTGGGATAAAACCCTACAAATGTGAAATGTGCGACAAAGCTTTTGCAAGGTCCGATCATTTGGCTAAACATCGTAAAGTACATCGGAAAAGAATCGGCCATTTTGAACGGTAACTCACATTGTAATGCATTTTATTGTAATTATTATTTTCAGTTATTCAACAAATAACTAAATAAATCTTGTTAAATAACCGTTAGTTTGAATAATCGCAATAAAAACGAAGAACTGTTTAAAAAGTTCGGTAAAAATTTTGTGGTACCTGTTACCTATATTCTAAAAATACAGATAATTGTACCTACTAATAAATATGAATGCGATAAGGGAGATAAGAAGTTCAGAAACAAGCAAAAATCATATTTGTATCTGCCTTTTCACAAATGAATTGGGTTTGGCAATTATTTTTGTAAAAATATATAGACCATTATCTTACACCAAATAAAAAATTACCAATTTGTATAAGCCACTAATACAGATACCTACTTTTACACCTACGTACGTAAAACATTAAATTTAATATAGCTGATTTACATTAAAAATACATATCCAATTACCTACCCATAGTATACATACATATAATCTATTGTAAAAACAACAATTTTACTTATAAATGTGTTAATTGGAGGCCTAATCACAGTGCGTTTGTTGTTTTGTACCTATGCTCCTTAGTGAAATGTAAAAATATTAATTGTGGATAAGTAAGTACCTAATAATATATAATTACTACTTAAATTTAAATAATAAGAGATGTCTCAAATAATTTCTGAAACATCTTATAAATTACTATGGGTATTAATATAAATACTAGTACAATAAAATAAAATGAATGATTTATAGCAACTCTAGTAGTTTTCAATAAATATTTGCAATAAAAAATATTTGTATAGAATAGACTTTTTTAAGTTATCGCCAAGTCTCCCTACATATATGTGACGTCGCGTCGCCGTCGTTTCGAACTTCATCAGGAAACAGCAATATGTTGTATTTTTAGTTAAATGCTTTAAAATAACGTAAATACCTAATAAGTACACGTGTAGTATTACGTATTATATGTGCGCATTGACAAGTACCTATATACATGTAAAAATATTTCCATAGTAAATTGGTTCTATAAACTAATTACCTGTTAAAGTTACGTAATCAGTTTAGCAGACATTCAACCAACTATAATTCAACTACTATACATATGATAAACCTAAACATCTGAAATCTCTGACCTATGAACCGAAGATAGAATGAAGCGAGTTCCTTAAAATTAATGGGAAATATATTTTATTTTTATTTGCCTACACTAGTTTGATTTTATAAATATATTTGGACGGTCCAACTTCGGCTTTTTTTTTAACAAAAGATATGACCAACATTTACTCAATATTAGGTAATATACATTTATTTAAATATATATATATGCAGTTTTAAATCGAGCGCCATTTTTCGCGTTAGAACGATTTGCTTAAAAGAAAAATTATTACTACAAATCGAAATTTACTATTTATATAATTGAAAAAGAAAAATAAAAACAAACAGTAAAAGTGTTCTGTTATCATTTCAAATAAATTTAATTAAATAAAAGGATAATCTAATTTATGTTAGTTTAAACAAGTTTAAAAAGGATACCACGTGACCGCAATCTAGGGAATTTCATTTTCGTATGTTGTATTGGTGGTAGTTACGTACGTTGTCATATACATTATGCAGTTTCACTTTTGCCATTACTGCCATTATTAATAATTGAGTATGACAAGGTCGCAATAAGAAGAACAGAAGTAGTTAATACAATATGGTATTTGGAAACAATATGAACTTTAATATTTGTTTCCTAAAGAAAGCAAAAGTTTTTATTTTTCCAAGACAGCGCAGTGACAGTGTAACAACAAGTGCCCAATTTTAATCAACAAACACAACATACCTAACCAATATGCAGCCGCTTTCAGAAAACGCAGTTAATGTTCCAGCATTTTTGAGTAAACTTTGGAAAATGGTTAACGACCCTTCTACTAATCATTTAATTTCTTGGAGTGCAGTAAGTACATTTACACAGGACAATATTACTCAATTTGTTGTCACTCATACATATATGTAAACCAGTTACAGGTCACATTTTAGGACACGCTTATTTCCTTAGAAGGTTGTAAATATTTGTATAGCCATAAAATATATGTTTAAAAATATTTAAATACTCCTATAGTCAACGGTTGAAGGGCAGCTGCCTTTAAAATAAAATATAATATGCCAAACAGTCAACAAATCATTTTTCAAAAATGATATTTGTTCTGGCTACTTATTTAAGTTACAATCATTCTTAAAAGAGTTCCATTGCGTATTGTGTGTGTATGTCTTTGAATTCAAGGTTGTTATTAAGTATTTTTAAACTCCAAATTAATGCCCTGAAGTAACAAGCTAGATCAATGACAATTTTTTCATTCCAAATGATAATTGTAATTATAATGGAAAAAAAATAGAACAGAACTAAAATAAAAAGTTAATGTATAAGCCATCAATAACCACTTCAGCTGCATATAAAATACAAATCAACTAGATAGACAAATATGTAATATCTACCTATTTCACAACATTGGTTCACTGTCTTAAAATGTGCAATTAATTTAATTTTCAGGCTGGGAATAGTTTTATCATCCAAAATCAAGCACAGTTTTGGTATGAACTTCTACCTCTTTATTATAAGCATAATAATATGAGCAGTTTTGTCCGCCAGCTTAACATGTGTATGTAAAACTAGAAGTGTTTTTGCCACAAGATTTATATCATTATTTTAGATGGATTTCACAAAATGACAACTGTTGAAAATGGTACAATGGATATTGATAAAGATGAAATACAATTTTACCACCCTTATTTTCAAAAAGATCAGCCTGAAATGTTACGAGAAATCAAGCGAAAGGTAATAAATATTTCTATAATAGAACTATAATTATCTCAACTGTATTTTAATATCAAGGTAACTGGTACCAAGACTGTGGCATCAGAAGGTTATGTACCCAGTTCAATAAAAACTGATGTCACTAAAGTGTTAGCAGATGTTAAACAATTAAGATCTCATCAACAAACAGTAGATTCACAATTGTCTGCAATTAAACAAGAAAATGCAGTTTTATGGCGAGAATTGGCCATGCTACGGCAAAAGCACATGAAGCAACAACAAATTGTAAATAAGGTAAATTTCAGGATCTAACTACTATTTCTAACAGAAAAGATAACTGTAAGATTTTCAATATTTTTGAGTAAGATTTCCAGCTATTTTCAATCTAGGTCAGTAGAAAATCATGGAACCTGTGTAAAAAGAAAATAATATGCCTTCAATGCTCTTATATCTTTTTGCCAACAGCTCATCCAATTTTTGGTAACAATAGTTCAGCCCTCAAATAGAATGAGCGGCCTTGGGGTTAAACGACGCTATCCATTAATGATACACGGTACTCCACACAAAAAATCAAAAACGAAAAATTCACGGTCAACCTCTGTTGGCCCAACAATTCATGAATTAGATACTGAAGTTGTATCAGATGACTTATTTGAAGTTTCAGATGACACCCAACAACAGGTAGTACTATCTTTTACATATTTTAATTTAGGATGGTCTCTACTTGTATTTTTAGTGATATTTACTATTTATTAATGTAAAAAGCTCATAATGCATATTGTTTTAATAACATAATAACCACATCATAATCAAAATAGGTTTATGTTTGTTATTGCAAATATCTTACTGAATATATATTTCTAAATTCATGAAATTACTTTGATAAATTATTCAAATGTTTAGCTAAAGATCGCCTCAAATGTACTTTTTTGCATGCTCAATTAACAACTGAATATTTCTAAAATATTATTTTTATATTTAAGCCCAAAGAAACATCTCTTAGTCGAAACAATAAAGAGGTACAGTACAGTCCCTATAACTTATTCACCAAGTGTTTCTTGTAATCACTGTGTTAGATAATGTAGTGGAATACTTTTTTTTGCAATAATCCTCTTAATTCTTACTTAACTCCTTTTTACATTTTGGGAAACTAGTTTAAATGTTTATTACAAAATATAATTTTTCAGTTTAATTTAGATTATTCCATCTGTTCTTTGTACATGTTAAAAACGTATGCCCTGTAGGCACTATAAAGAAAAGTATCATAAAATTGAATTTATGATGTTTATTATCAAAAACTTGATAATAAAAATCAGCGTAGTACGGCATGATTGTATATAGTGTTGATTATTTGCTAAATGCTTTGTAGTGCAATGTAGCAGAATACATCTAATTAGTAAAAAAACGTGTATTTTGTGACTTATTATTGTTTGTCTTAAGGTACAAAGTCCTACAACACCTATCGAAAGTTCTCAAAAAACTCCACCCGATAACTTGTTTGATGATGTAAACATCAACAGCGTGGGGTCTGTCTCCCCAGATATTTTCTTAGATTCACCAGAATTGGTAAGAGTATTATTTGAATTGTGGGAGCATGTTTTCCTTCTATAACTCGTCTCTGTTAGTCAAAATCTTTCTAAATATATCAACCCCTTGAGACAACGCGAATAAATAAAAATATGCTGTTCAATCAATTTTTAAAGATGCAGCGTTCATCTTTTATTCATACAGCTTGCAATTGGGTGTTTGACAGCAATCCTGACTAACAAGTTTAACCAATTAAATGAAATTAAAAGATATAAATGTAGATATTTTTGAAAAATAAATTCAAATTAAAAACGATGCTATCGGTGTCTCAGCGTTTCTCGCACGACCTCGTAGGGCAAAGCAATTATTTTTCAAAAAATTTTCGTTTTTGTAGTTCAATCCCCGATATTTTAGGAAATCAATAATTAAAAAGAAACCAGTCAAGTGCCCAATTGGTTACTTCTCAGTATATTTCCCCCTTTCGTAATTATGAACTAACAACTTCAGTAAGAAATGTAATTATTTTCTAATCTATACTTCACAGCAAGGATTTCATAAATTATATGCGTAGAATATATTCCTTCACAAAAAAAGAAATATCGGGTAGATCATTAATTTTTAAGCAGATTTTTAGGTATAAATTAATTACAAAGGCCCCTCAAATATAAAGAAGACATAACCACTGGTTTTAAAATAAAATAGGTGAATCATACATATTCATTGCAGTAATAAAATATATTATTCATCATGAATTTATGAGCTGCAGTTATATTTCTTGCTACATTTTGTAGAGAACAATTATTATTTAAATATATAGTGCAAAATAAACTATTGAATACATATACTTAATACTTAATTATTAACGTAATTAGCTATTATTTTTCATTATAAACCAATAGAAATAAATATTTAGTGAGACATAGATGAGCAGTGATAAGTTTTTTTATATAATTGTGGCTGTAAAGCATTCTTCATATTAATTTTTCAAATTTACAGTTTTTCCCTTACTCCATTTGGTTTTTTTCTTCTTATGTTAAATTTAATGATAGATGAATAATAAATAGATTTTGTTTATACTAGGTTTCATTAATGACGGGTGTTGGATGGGCAGTATAAATATTTCGAGGTGGGAATAATGGTATCCAATTGGTGGGAGGTGGCTCTGTTTCGGCTCAAATCTGGGAGATATTATAGGTAGGGATTGTTGTCATATCGACAGTAAATAAACTTCAGTATTTATGCTATCACGTGCTAGAATTTAAAAAAAAATGAGAAATTATGTTAAGAGTCATAAGATTCATAAGACTGTGTTTTTTTTTTACTGTTTTAGTTCACCANAATTGTAAATAAGTCTAATATTTAATTTTTAAATGAATTACTGTATGAAAATCGCCCTGAATGTGAAACACCTAAAAATCTGCACTTCATTAGTATTAATTTAAATAAACTATCCATTATTTGGATTTGGGGGGATATTTTCAATTATTTACAAAAGATACATTGTGTTTTACAGCATATTTATATGATACTTATTTTCATAAATTATTACTCGACAATTAGGAGTATTCACAACAACATGAGGAGAAACCAGAATTTATATCAATTGATGAATTCCTTGATGACCCCACTTCTGAAACAAATGAAGATGTCATAATCAAAATAGGTTTATGTTTGTTATTGCAAATATCTTACTGAATATATATTTCTAAATTCATGAAATTACTTTGATAAATTATTCAAATGTTTAGCTAAAGATCGCCTCAAATGTACTTTTTTGCATGCTCAATTAACAACTGAATATTTCTAAAATATTATTTTTATATTTAAGCCCAAAGAAACATCTCTTAGTCGAAACAATAAAGAGGTACAGTACAGTCCCTATAACTTATTCACCAAGTGTTTCTTGTAATCACTGTGTTAGATAATGTAGTGGAATACTTTTTTTTGCAATAATCCTCTTAATTCTTACTTAACTCCTTTTTACATTTTGGGAAACTAGTTTAAATGTTTATTACAAAATATAATTTTTCAGTTTAATTTAGATTATTCCATCTGTTCTTTGTACATGTTAAAAACGTATGCCCTGTAGGCACTATAAAGAAAAGTATCATAAAATTGAATTTATGATGTTTATTATCAAAAACTTGATAATAAAAATCAGCGTAGTACGGCATGATTGTATATAGTGTTGATTATTTGCTAAATGCTTTGTAGTGCAATGTAGCAGAATACATCTAATTAGTAAAAAAACGTGTATTTTGTGACTTATTATTGTTTGTCTTAAGGTACAAAGTCCTACAACACCTATCGAAAGTTCTCAAAAAACTCCACCCGATAANATTAAATGATGTTCTACTTATTAAAATGGCACTTCCATTTTTACAGAATTTAGTTTAATTTATTGGTCTCGTTTTTTCTGTTATGTTAGATTTTTCGTAATATTCGGTAAATTTCCAAAATCGTAAGGTAAGGTTCTTATTCTCATAGTTAATTATTCCTGCCAATGACCGACAGTTTCTTAAAAGTGGGTGACAAAAATGGGGATAGAGAGAAAGAAAAGCAGAGATCGGGCAATTGTTTAAATGTAGAAGAACAGTCTAATGCTGTACCAAAATTATCATACGCAAATTATTTTTATTTTTCGTAACAATATTTTTTTTATCAACAGGTGCCGTTTCCACGGAAGGTAATACAAATAAAATACAACACGACATCAACACTTATGTATGTGCTTGGTGACTGATGCCAACAAATACTTTAAACAAAATATGCACAATAGTATCAATGTGAAAGTGATGATATTTTTGAAAAATGTTTTCTCAATCGAATTTTTTATAGTAAAGAAAAGTCCGCTTACTTACATTACAAATATGCAAATTAATTTTTTTTAAATTCCATTTAGGCATGTGTATCTACTAATAATAATAATTACTCTGTATAATTAAAATATTGGCAATCTATTTATTGCTACGGACAAAAAAATTGCTATTTAAAGGATAAATCGTCTGGATTGGATTCACGGATAAAATGAATGTAAGATTTTGAAAAGAAATGTTTACATTGAAATAAAAGCAAAAACTAATTTGTTTTTTCAAAGGTATATACAATTTCAAATGGATGTATTCTAAATTCCTGCGAAAATTTCATCAGATCACTAAAAATATGTTTTTGTTTTTATTTTGCAGTTTTTTATTAACTTATTATTTTTACAGCTATTCAATGATTCCCCATCATATTCTTTATCATGTGGAAAGAAGGACATTCCTGAAGGAGCAGGTATGATTCTTGTTTTTGTATTTTTTACTGCATGCGCTAACTCTTATTCACCTTATATTGATTAATTCTGATCAGTTAAATACATATCAAAAAGTGTTCTGCAGATGCAATATACATCTTCAAAGGTATTTGTAGTACATTAAAAAGGCATTTTAAATTTAAATTTCTTCTTTTGTTTTTCAATGTAGTGCCTGTTTGCCTATGATGTGTGAAATTAATTTAATGTAACGAAAAATAGTAATATTTTAATTTTAAATTTAGAATTGCCAGAGGTATGCAACGAACTAACAGCTTACGATTCCGATATAATTGATTTCAATGAACTTTTTGACGATGCGGAACTTCAAGATCAAATAACTCAAGATGAATGGCCATCGAATATTTCGAAGGATGTTGTTTTGAACAGTGTACAAAGCATTAAAAAGGAATCATCACATTAATTTCTATAAGTTTATTATTATTATTATTATTACAGTAATTCTTTTATTTTTCTTGAAATATTTCTGTAGGTTATTTTAATATGATATTAAGATCAGGATTTTTGGTGTGTAGATGTAATATTATATAATTGCACGGTATAGATTTTAAATACTATGAACTTTATAAATATCAGGATTAAAACATTGTTATGAGGCTCGAAATTTTAACATTTTATGGAACGCTACGCTGCATTTAAATAATTTATTTTACACCACAAAAAGATACTGCTGTATTTTTTGCAGTCCTTTACTGCTTCATTAGTATGTAAATAAACCTTCCTGAAGGTTTATATTAGAGAAATTAATGTAAACTTCTGTTTAGTTATTTTTATTATCAGTCAAAATTGTAACATTTATTTTTTTGGTAAATTAATAAAATAATATATATNCAAAATTGGTGCATTTTTCGTGGAATAGGGAAGTTTTCGTGGGAATTTCAAGATACTGAAAGGTAGCATGTGAAAATTAAGAAGTATGTAGATTTTATCTTCTGTAACTTTTTAAACTTTTTTTTTATTCAACCATCGAATGAAATTGAACAACACCACATAAAATAATGTAATTATGAGTATAAACCAGCAGCAAAAAAATGTATTCTGTATAATGGTCTAAATATCGCCCTGACTTATCTTAATAAGTTTTTGAAAAATTATTTATTTGTAAGTGTTTCTCAAAATGAAATCAGCAACTGCTTTTAAGTAGGCTTCCTTAAAAAGTTAAAAAATCAAAAAATACAAGGTGTTCATTTAAGCATAAGTTTAATTGCTTATTATTAAGTATATTTATTATTTATTCAGTTTAGTCAATAATAAGTAAAATAAGAAATTGACAGGACGATATTTTTACTGTAATTTTATTCAAAACACTTATAAATTCCCTTTCAAATTTTACAATTTACATTGTGCAGCTTTTATAGTTAAACTTTAAAAAATATTGTGTCATAAAAAGGCAATTTCTGTAAAATGTTAAATAATTTTCCTCCTTTTATTTTGTTCAAAAACATTTATGTAAAGTATATGAATAGTTCGTTTATTTTACAGAATACGTGAAAAAATACGCAACGGAAGAAGCATTGCGGGGCCAAGAAAATAATGTAAGTTCAGAAAGTGAGTCGAGTATGTCAGATTTTTCAGAAAATGAAGCAGAAGATATGGAGTTATAACGCAGGGTGTTTATTAAAATTTACACTCGCTCAATCTCATTTTGTACAACTTTTGCTTGATTTTTAGTCAGAACTATTTCATATTAATTCATTTTAATAGATACACGTAATGTGATGTGCGTGACAAACATGCGCAATCAAAAAGTATTTTTCGGCGTTGTCAGACGTGACACAATTTTACTGAGAAAATAATATTATTCAAAGAATTCAAAACAGTCTATGAATCAACATGTTTATAGTTACCGTATATATTTATAAATATGATAGTAATTGATAGAAGTATGTTTATTATATCGACTACTTCTATTATTATTATTTGCTTTGATATCTAAAAACCAAATAGAAGAGTTCATAACAAGGATGATCTAATTATTATCCTGATGTCGTATTTATCATTAAATGCCTATGTGCACCTATAGTAGGATAAATTCATATTTATACAACGTAGCACTTACAACAACCAAAACACTTATGAGAAGAATGGAGATTACAAAATGCCTTATTCAAAATAATATACTGATGTGATATGTCGATTAAATTGATTTACTCATAGTGCAAAATAAAAGCAGTTTGATATAAGAATTTGCGTACACACGGCAACAGTGGCTCCTATGAGATTTTGGGGTAGATTGGCAGATTGTGGTAATGTGGTAATTTGTTTCTCCATTGCAGTTAAAGAGTGATTACGTTTAGGTGAACGTATTTTGTGACATTAGTAAAACTGAATGTTAATTTCTTTAGTTGAATTGTTCAGGATGTCATCCCCTAGTGCTGGAAAACGTCGGATGGACACAGATGTTATAAAACTGTATCCTTTCATTCTAATATCCAGAAATGTAAACAATAACAGTCTTTGTGTCAGCTGATTGAAGGACGTAGTTAGTTCATCATACAATAATAGTATTTTATTTTGTGAATTTCTTTGTTTCGTTTTAATTATTCATAAGAGCTGTCCACTACAAAGATTTGTATCACAAGTCATATTTTTATTTGCCTTGACTATTGCTTAGTATTGAAAGTAAACATGAAGTCACTATTCTAGGTGGATTAAATGAATTTTGTGTGAAGTTTTATGGGCCACGAGGGAGTAAGTAAATTAAGCATGGATAAGCTATTTGATAACAAACTGTTTGCAGTCTGTCAAGTTCATTTTATATTCAACAAGTTTTTTACTCTTTTTTAAATTACAATATGTACAAAGCAGAAAAGTAAAACAGGTGAAGCCTAAATCTCATAACTGCAAATTTAAATAGTATATATTTGCTTCTGTAATTGATCTTGATAAGCATGTGTAAAATTGAATAAATAATAGTTATTTCAGTATCTAATATTTTTTTTTATTGGTAATTGCTTTGATTGGTTCTACATGAAATGCTAACTTCTGTGCATTGACCTTTTATGTTAAAAGATATTAATAAACGTGCTATTTAAGCAAATAACAAGTGAACACTTTCCATCTATTGTTTTGTTGTTTTTGTTATCTCTTTTACTGGGCAACAATATTGGCACGTTTTTGTGCATTCTTGGAATATTTTAAACGTTTTTTCATATTTTTAATGTGGTGACAGTCTTATTAGCATTTACTCTGGTAATCCATAAACCTCAATATAAGAATGTTAAAAGCATGATGTATTAATGTATATTACTATTAATTCCCTGTAGCTCCTTATGAAGGAGGAGTATGGAAAGTTCGAGTCCATTTACCAGAACATTATCCCTTCAAATCGCCCAGTATAGGTTTTATGAATCGTGTTTATCACCCAAACATAGATGAAGTATCAGGAACTGTATGCCTTGATGTTATAAACCAAGCGTGGACAGCTCTCTATGGTATGATATTTACCTCTTATTTCCAATAAATAAGATGTAATTTGTATTACCATATTTTTAACTTCTGAATTTAACATCAAAATTTCAACTTTCCAGACTTATCAAATATATTTGAGTCATTTTTACCTCAGCTTCTTACATATCCTAATCCAATTGATCCCCTTAATGGTGATGCAGCTGCCATGTATCTTCACAAGCCAGAAGAATATAAGAAAAAAGTTTCAGGTATTATGATAATATTTCTTCAAAATGTTAATTTTTTTCCTAAACATTTCATGCAGAATGAAAGGCTCCATTATGAAATACATATATATCTTATTAAATATATTGATAATTCTATCTGAACGAATACACACTTTTCACCAAATACAAATTCGTATAAGTCGCACGATACCATTACCAAATGTTAGTGAGTTACGGTGCATTATGTACATATATAATAAGATCAGGACGTAACAGTAGACTTCAACAACATTTCTATAAAGTTCCCTGATAACGGATTCTCGAAAATCATTTAACAGAAATGAGTTGTAATTTTTGTAATAAAGTATTTCTTAAATAAAGGCGTTTAGTTTCATTAAGTAACCCTTTTCATTTCAAGTGTACTGGACATGATTTACATAATAAACATTAAACTAAGGTAAGGTAATTATAATAACGTTACTGATTAATATTGGTACTAGTGAATAAAAAAAAATTGCCTCTTAATTATGTTACGTTTTATTCTATTTAATCCTATTTTCATCATACTATTGCGTTGAAATGTCGGTTAGCTTTGTATGTTAACACAGGTAACGTATGTAGGCAACACACAACACAGACAGTTTTAAAATGTTTGTCATAACTTTTATGGGATCCTATATATAAATATTAGAAGCCCACACATGAGGAGAAACCAGAATTTATATCAATTGATGAATTCCTTGATGACCCCACTTCTGAAACAAATGAAGATGCTGCTGTTATTGACAGTTTACAAAAAGCAGTTACAGAAGAGATTGAGGAATCTAACAAATCTTCAAACAAGGTGTTCCTAAACCCATCTGCTCAAGATACATTGCTGTGCAACCTGATATGTGGAAATTACAACACGAGTAGTTTAAAAGTACAAGAAAAAGACAAAACGCCTGGAAAGAGTTTGACGGGAAAAAACAATTTAACAAATTCGGTGAACCAGCTAACAGAGGCTACAACTGCTACAAATGAAGACAATACTATGGCAATTGCTACCAGAGATTCTTCAAGCGGAAATGATTATAAACGACTGACCATGTAAGTATAACAAAAAGTTATTAAAATATAATTATATGAGTTTTAATANAGACTGAAATATTTATTTAATATACTGTCTTCTATTACAGCAGTAGCTTACTGTTAAAATGTTTTGTTATTGGAGTTACTGTAAATATTTATTTGTATACAATAGCTTTTCATTCTCCAAATACAGTGGTATTTTAATCATCGAAAATGTTGAAAATTGTTTGTAATATTGGACTTCAGGTACGGTAATAAAGAATGTCATGTAATATTCACGTCCGCTATTAAATAGTTTTCCTTGAAACGATATTAGGATTTGGATGGGGGTCACATTTAATTCAGTAGCGGTCAAAATTGGTGCATTTTTCGTGGAATAGGGAAGTTTTCGTGGGAATTTCAAGATACTGAAAGGTAGCATGTGAAAATTAAGAAGTATGTAGATTTTATCTTCTGTAACTTTTTAAACTTTTTTTTTATTCAACCATCGAATGAAATTGAACAACACCACATAAAATAATGTAATTATGAGTATAAACCAGCAGCAAAAAAATGTATTCTGTATAATGGTCTAAATATCGCCCTGACTTATCTTAATAAGTTTTTGAAAAATTATTTATTTGTAAGTGTTTCTCAAAATGAAATCAGCAACTGCTTTTAAGTAGGCTTCCTTAAAAAGTTAAAAAATCAAAAAATACAAGGTGTTCATTTAAGCATAAGTTTAATTGCTTATTATTAAGTATATTTATTATTTATTCAGTTTAGTCAATAATAAGTAAAATAAGAAATTGACAGGACGATATTTTTACTGTAATTTTATTCAAAACACTTATAAATTCCCTTTCAAATTTTACAATTTACATTGTGCAGCTTTTATAGTTAAACTTTAAAAAATATTGTGTCATAAAAAGGCAATTTCTGTAAAATGTTAAATAATTTTCCTCCTTTTATTTTGTTCAAAAACATTTATGTAAAGTATATGAATAGTTCGTTTATTTTACAGAATACGTGAAAAAATACGCAACGGAAGAAGCATTGCGGGGCCAAGAAAATAATGTAAGTTCAGAAAGTGAGTCGAGTATGTCAGATTTTTCAGAAAATGAAGCAGAAGATATGGAGTTATAACGCAGGGTGTTTATTAAAATTTACACTCGCTCAATCTCATTTTGTACAACTTTTGCTTGATTTTTAGTCAGAACTATTTCATATTAATTCATTTTAATAGATACACGTAATGTGATGTGCTTAAAGGATTACTCTTAGTTTTTACGAGTTAATATTATTATTGTATATAGTTTATTTTTTGTTGTGTGAAATATTTAAAAGTTACAAAAGCCTTATGTTTAAGAGCATTAAATGTCTCATTCTAATTCTAGTTCTAACATCTTAATGTTATAATGATAATGTGTTCTGTCAGTAAGTGAAGATAGAAAGTTTCATTTTAATTAAAAGCAAAGAAATGTCTGCCATGTTCTCTAAGCAATGGAGAACTTTTTGCTTTAGATCGTGATGCAGTACCTAAATGCATTAAGAAATCATATTTTAAAAGATCCATACACTGTATTATTTGAAAATTATATATATTTTCTTTTAATATAAACATTTAGAACTAGTTTTTGGTAAAAGCTACTATTATTATCGACAAATAACTGAATTAATTACAATGAATGCGGTTATGATTATTACTCGCTGTTTTTAATTAGCAATAAAAATACTTCTTTGACTAACACGAAAAGTAATTGTTTTATAGATAAATTGCGTTAACGGTAATTATCGTTAATCGATGTATCGATTAGATTGAGCGGGAGAGAGAAAAAGTTATGAAGTATACTCCTCGAAACGAATTTTCAATTGCTTGTGAGGATCTAGATAGTGATCGAAGGAGAGTTTTCCGATATTTTATTGATTTTATTTCTATTAATTTTTTTGCAATATTTGTTATACATATATTTTTAAATGTGTTAGACAAAGAAGTTTAGTTTATTAGTTGAGATATTAAGAAATAATGATTTTTTGTTATTACCTAGAAATAAAAAATACAATGTTTCAGTTGAAATATTGAGAATTAAGATGGAAAATGCTTTTAAATATATAAATATTTAAAAATGTGTTTACAATCATTAATGTAATTCTACTAGTTATATGAAATGTCTCTGTATATACAAATTTGCTAATGTAAGATGATATATTTTTTGCAGTAATACCTTTGCCAAGAATTACTTTAAGTCATTTTTGTTTAATTTTACACTTTGTTATTATTTTACTAATTTTAAGTAAGCAAATTTCCTGGGCCAACAAGAGGAAGTAGTGTTTATTAATTTCTTTTTACATAGCTCGAAATTAATTAATAATATTGTATACTTATTATGGCAAAAAATCTTATTGTGTCTTACTGAAAGTAAAATACAAAAAAGTAAACACCAACATAATAAATATCATTTCGCAAATTGCTTTGTTATTTAAAAAATTAATCTTACTAAAAGTATTAAGTTTGATACCATTTATTAATTTAAGATCGGTTGTTTTATCTTCTAGTTTGTCATAATTAAACATGAAACGCTTATAAATTGCAACTATTATGAACGAGAGATAGTCAATAATTAGTTGGCGTAATTATTATTTTATAAACGATAAAGGTTAGTGCTGAAGTAGTTATAATTAAGTACCTTAATAGAGTTAATTAATTGCGTTTAATTTCTTTCATATTTTGCCCATATTTATTCTTAAGTTGTAATTTATTGACTATCTTTTCTAACATAAATATTGTATCACTGATTGGTGTAAAACAAATGATCAAACAAAAGAGAAAACCAAAAAGTAACAGTAACATTAATAATTACAGTAAATAATTTTTAGAATTTGCATTTTTATAGTTTACGTTATAGATTTTTTTCAGCTATGTATTTGCAACTTCTTCTGGACACATTTACTGTATGCCTTAGAATAACATTCAGAAAAATTTGTGAACAAAGTGATAATATAAATGTAATATATTACTAAAAAATTACATTTCTTATTAAATGACCTGAATGTTAGAATCCCACGAGGCAATTTCATGTACTTCTCAGGTGTACCTAACTTTTAAAATCCTGCTTAATTATGAGCGGTTTAGAATTCCCTTTGACTATAAAAATTGGAAAACGAAAAGGGGACTTCTAGAATCCGAATTCTAAATACCGATAATATTAATTTTCTAGAGATTGTTTAAAATACCTGCTATATCTATAACGTGTACATCACATTGTGTTTATTCATAAT